ACAAGTGTCCGCAATTATGTGGTACTGTAATCTTGGATGTTTTTCATGATTGTACATATTGTATCACATTAGATACTTCATAAGCTCAGGTGGTGGCAGTAAATTGCCAGAAGACAGATAATATATAAATTTATTACCACCTTTTTACATGCCACCCAACTGTGAATCCAGGTCAATTTTTATCGTCGAGATTTAATAATTGCTGAGTCATTTTTCCACGGATATGAGAGTGTGGAAGATCATTTCGCATAAAAACACAACGAAAAAGAATAATTTCATGATTTTTGCATATGCTGAAGTTCAATATCAGTCAGTGCACGATAGGTAACTTTAAAATTTTTTATTTGTCGGTTTTCAAAGACAATCCTAAATATTCTCTTGGTGTAGTGGTAAGACTAAACTTTTACCAAAGGCTATCGCTTCCAGTTTCTCGTTATGACGTTTAGCTTCTTCGAATTGAACGTTTGGGCGTCTTTAGCAGTAATTAATTGCGTTTGCAATGCCCATCAGCGGCCACCTGCTACGCCAAACGCACTTAAACCTGCAAATAGAGGTATAAGAAGGTGAATACCTCTCACTTTTTGCGGTATTAGGATAATACGTGGAACTTTGATTTTTTTCTTTCTACCGGCATCGCGAACAGTCTTTAGTGCAGCAGCTAATGCAGATATCATAGAATCTGAAGTAGAGTTTAACATAAGCATTGCTGAATTAACAACTTTTCGCAAATGTTTAACTTCCTTGTCCTTTTTGTTTTTCTTTTTCAAACCCATTCCCAATTTTGATTTAACTTTTATGACGTTGGAAATTCCTAAAGCAGCGATTCGTTCAGCAATATCTGCGTCTCTCGCGAAAACACGTTTCAAAGACTTTTTAGCAAATATTCCATCAGCTGCGTTTCTAGCTTCAATGATATCTCGATTTTGCCAATATGCAATATCGTGTTCTTTACAAGCAGTGTCCAATGGATTAATTCCTGGATCTCCACGTGCTAATCTTTTCTTCAATTTAGTTCCCGGATTACAATAATGATATCCTGGTATATGAAGTTCAAATGGCTATTTGTTAATAAGTGTGTTAACAATACCAGCACCTCGTTTTTTGATACGTCTTTGCACTATCATTGTTCAAGAACGACTAACTCGACACCTATAAAAGATGTAAATTTATAGCTAGAATATCATTCTACATCAAGTTCAATCAACAAGACATTAAGTTGCCTGTAATTAACTTTGACCTATTGCGAGACACAAATATCAAACGTCATGGACAACTTTTACCAAATAGTGTCCGTGGTGTTATTTGTGGCCCATCAAATTGTGGAAAGACAAATACTCTCTTAGCACTTATTGTACATCCAAATGGCTTACGATTTAAAAATATTTATTTGTATTCAAAATCATTCAACCAACCTAAATATCAGTTTTTAAAAAAAATAATTGAACCAATTGAAGGTATTAAATTTTATGCTTTTAATGAGCATGAGAAAGTGGTAAAACCGGATGAAGCAAAACCCAATTCAATTACGATTTTCGATGACGTAGCATGCGAGAAACAAGATAATATGTGAACCTATTTTTGTATGGGACGACATAGAGATATTGACTGCTTCTACCTTTGTCAAACTTATGCACGAATCCCAAAACATTTGAGACGTGACAATACAAACTTCCTTGTACTTTTCAGGCAAGATGACATGAATCTAACACACATTTACGATGATCATGTAAATACTGACATGACTCATTCTCATTTTCGAAATGTATGTTCAATGTGCTGGAATAATGATAAATATCCCAGTGAACACATCACGTAAATGCTACAATACACAGAAGTCGCGAGTTACATCAATTTGTTTACATTTGTTTTATGTAATAGAGACATAAAAATTTACTTCTATGTTACATATTATTGTTTATCTTTTTGTTATATCCGCGTTATGTATCAATGTTACTTTAATTAGATGTATCAGTGTGATTCATATATTGCATATAAGTTATATATTTTTGTTATTCTAATGAGATATAATATTTGTTTATATTATGTTATGTATTAGCTGCATATTATCATTACTCTAACTGAATATGAAATTATCATTTCTACCCTACATTTCCGTTATTTTCTTTCATCAATGTGAATCTATTATATCCAAGTGATTTTATTTTAAAAGTATTATTAGCATAATTAACTATTGGATATACTTACCGACATTCATATCTAATTGAAAGAGAGTGATGTTCAAACTCTCGATTTACGACTTGTTCTCATGGTTTCGGTGCACTTTTAATTTTTCCTTTGATCTGACTCATATAGTTCTCAAATTTAAAACAACTTAATTTATCTAAGCAATCGAAAGATTGTACCTCATTCGATAAACGTAAAAGAATATGAATGTTGTGCGTTAAATATTCAATACCATACAAATCTTTGAATTTCTCAACGAACCACTTTCACAACGAATTAGCATAAGCATTTTCTTTAAGACACAAATAAGAATCACACAGAATTCTTATTGCTGCACTTAAAGTAAGAAAATGTACATAATAGTTCGATAGAAGAATATTTTTGAATATTACAGGGCCTGTATATAATAAGAACTGTCGAAATTCAGTAGCTTTCCACTTCTCTAGTACATCAAAACTTCTGGGTTGTCTTGCAAATTCTAGTGGTATACAAGTACGTGTGTCACGTAATGCTTTGGAAATAATATTTTTTTGATCGGTTGTTAAACGTACATCTCGAGCACTTTTAGTCCAAAGTTGTAGAAGACGTTTTACAACACCTAAACATACCAAGTGCATATAGTCCAAAGCAACTTTTGAAACCATCCCAATTTTTAAGTGTTTTAATACAGATATCCCTGAGTGATGCTCTTCTTGCTCCATGTTATCAAAAGATTCATCAGTTCTCAAAGTACTTGTCATTTCCGGGAAAAAACACGTCCGTTTCATTCTCCTTCTTGAATACAATTTGAGCAGCTAAAATATCTAGTTGGATACTTAGTACATGTTATAAAAGCTTTAGCCGGAGCGTCACAAATGATTTCCGTTATTCGAATGTTCATTTTTTTATTGTTAATGATCAAGCCTTCTTTCATTATACATAACATGTCAAGAACGAAAGGAGTAAGGTAAACATTAGCATCAATAGGCTTCGAATTACCATGAAAAATGCCCACTAAAAATGGTTGAGTATAAAAGTCAATAAGTTAAAGACCAATGGTACTTGGAGAAGAAACAAAATATTTTTAAATTGAACGTTCTAAGCCATTTGCAACTCCGAAATGCATGTATGCACTGCTATTACTATACTTAATTTCATTAATAGCATTCCGTGGAGTTTTCATCAACGTTCCTACATCTTGCGGTAGTTCACTAAAACCGTAGATTAGTTCAGTAAACTAATCTACGAAGAAAAAGGGAAACTTTTCATGCTAACACGAACAAATTAAACTGAATACGCTATATGTATTTGTACTGGCGCGTGTGCTATAATTTTTTACGCTCCGCGCATGTGCAATAGTCATGTGTGTTGCTGAAGCGCATGCGTCAGCAATACTTCACCTTGCCGATTCTCCACTACTGTACCAACACTTTTATATATACCAGTACCGGTCAAAAACATATTTGTGAAATCAGCATCTTTAAAGTAATTCTTTTTAGTTTCTGCTTGTGATGAAATATATGTAAGTAAAAGATTTTGACTGATATTTGATTTTTTTTTTTACTTCCCAGTGGGATTTTGCGAATCGCTAATTTTGACATATCTCCACGTTTTAAGGTCCCCAGAGTTGAATACGATAGTTTTTACGTGGACGTCTGTGTGTGTGTATGTACGTATGTGCGTATGTTCGTACGTGCGTTCGGAATTATTTTTCGCCTCGATTATCTCGAGAACAAAAAATGATATCGATGTGGGACCAATTGCATTCGATGCATAATTACGTAACTTAGAACTGATTAGATTTTCAGCAAAATCGGTCCAGTCATTTTTTATGCAGAATCAAAAAACTGGAAAAAAAGGAAATTACTTGAATTTTGCAATTTATAAATTATACCATTTTCTAGACAAAATTTCACGATCATTGCAGAAATATGAATATTAAATGATTGGAATACTTGTATGGATATATGATGACAATATTTCATCGGAAAAAAAAATTTAAAAAACAATATCAGCAATGAAAGAATTTTAAATGCGTGTCAGGATTGAGAAAACAGCATTAAAGACGCTATAATAGTCAATAATAATTGTCAATAATATGGAATTGTGTTCATAACAATTGAACATTGTTACTAACGAGTGATTATTGATCATAGTAATATTTAAATAATAAGTTTTAAATTGTTATAAACAATAAAAATAGGGACCCTTTCTATATATATGAGTACTTTTAACGGATAATTTTTTCGTTTACTAAAAAAATGTTACCAACCGTATGCCATAAATGAACATACTTTTTTCGTGTATAACAATGAAATTCGTTGTAAATAATGAAAAAAAGGATCTATGAGGTACATTCGAATTCTTCTAACGCACAATTTTTTCTTTCACTGAAATAAAGTAACTAACCATATCGAATGAATATAAACAGACTCATTTCGTTTATTACAATGCCATTTGTTATAAAAAATGGAAACGGGTTCTATTCAAATTGTTTTTTTATTTTTTCCACTGGGAAGTTGGTCGTGTGGACCTTTCGGGTCGCACCCAGACCACTGCAGAGCACTGATATTTTTTTATGATAGAAGTAACGTGAATCACTAAAATACATTCTTTATATATTTATGAATATCATACTTGCAAGACTAGGTTTCAAGTATTCTTCATAACCTCATTGTCTACAAAAATGTATACTACGATACATTAATTTGTAATGAATAATTTGTAGATAAAGTTGATATGAAAATCTTCATCTATGTTTCAAGTAATTATTTGACTACTGTATTTACTCTTTTACTATTTTCCCAGCTTTTTATTTTTTGGATAATTTTACTATTATGGAATTTGCTGTTGTAAAATTTTCCAAAGACGGCACTTCTTCGGAAATTCCTGTGAAATGGATAATCGGTGATGACAATGAGAGGTGCTGGTGGCCATCTAAACGCACAAAAAATATTTCGACCTTGATACAAAGAAATGTGGACCCAAAAGACCACTGGGATGAAGAAGAAATTTCTGAAATTACATTTTGCTGTATATATTTTTAAAATATATATTGCTTATATTAAGAAAATTTACCACACTTGAATAGAGATTTTTTTTCTAACTTTTCCAATTTTTTTCATTATAATACCAATTAATGTTACTATTAAAATAATCACAACTAATTTGTTAAATCATTTCTTATAAGCACTAACAGAACTCGATTGAAAAATATTATTCACAGGAACATATGAAAAAGCAAGACATCTTGCTGAAAATTTGAATTATACTTCAGAGGACGACGGTCAATCTGGAAGAGGAAGAAGAACAAAGTTCCGTAATACGCGATATCAAGATACTTCTGATGATGAAAATAATAATGGACGGTTCTCTTCATTAGATTTACCTCCATCATTGGCGACAAATACTTCTCCGCAAGAAGATAATACTGGTAAATAGTTACAGAAATACCATAAATTCAATAATTTATTCGTATTATTGTTGGTTACATTTTGATTTTGCGTGTAGAACTTAACATTAATGAGTTACCAATCATTTATGAAGAATCACCAACAATTGAAAGAACTACTACTGAAGGAACTCGTGACTCATTCAATGAAGAAAATGTGCAAATAGCCCAATCTCTCGACCTTAACAGCTATCAACAAGGATTGCTAAATTTACAAGAATTAAAAGGTAAAATTACTAGACAATATTTTATTTTGTTCGATTCTATGATAAACGATAAAGTTATTATTTTGAAACTTTATTATAAAACGACGAAGTCGTTTCAATGAAACTTTATTCTAAAAGACAAGAAAATTGATTTTTAAGTTTGATTTTCAATTTAATTGAAAATATTTCTCTACGCTCTATAATTAGCAATTTTATTCCTAATTTTCCTTACTCAGATCAACTTTTTTCAATTCAAAGAATTGTTGTCAGATTGGATTTAAAAATTGACGACTTAGCTCAAAGAGTAGATAAAATAGGTCCTTTACCTAAACTAATAGGTACCACGAAAAATATACAAAAAATATTACCACTCAGTAGCCGAGAAGCAGTTGATAACTTTGAAAAGCATTTAGAAAATACTACTATTATGAATGAATTTGTAAGTATGCATGAAATACTTTAAAGAAAGTCTTGCAACATTATATAAATTTTAACTTATATTTCAATTCAAACTATTTTTAGCAATCAAATGAAATTATACGTTATTATATTTGAAAACAATGTTTTTTTTCTACAATATCATTTTTAAAAGAGAACATCGTCTCGTTTTACTAGCATCTGCTATAAATATAAATATTTTGTATTTTAATTATATTCATAATCAATTGATTATATTTATTATTCCATTTTATCATTTTGATATATCTATATTTTTGAAGCGTACAATTATTTTTTGTTTTTCAGCTTATTTATATTGATAGAGTTTGTGGTAATACCCCTGAAGAAAATGTAAGGCAAATTTTCTCCGAAGTTTTTACCAATGAATTCGCCAAAAACCATACATGGGCTGGGAGGAAAAATAAATTTTGTGATTCTCAGTTGAAAATGATCAGAACTATGAAAGGTAATTAGTAATAGAATTTAGTTGATTTAAAAAAATGCATTTTCATTATTCTTTTAGTGAAAATGATTTCAATTCCACTCTAATTTATGTTATGTTAGATAAAATATCAAGTGAATGGGCTGGATTCCGTGAAAATAATTTCGATCGAGAAGGAAAAGAGTGGTTTCGATTGGGAAATCAGAGATTCACTCGAGAAGAAACGAAGAAATGGTTTTTTTAAATCTCCATTCCAAAAAAGTATTATTAACATTAAAAAGTTGATCAATGAGTACAAAAAATTTTTAGTATTTATGATTTTCTGCTGAAGTATTGTTATTACAGCAAAAAAAATTCTCTTCCATTCTCTCAATTTAGATCATTCAATTACTTGTAGTAAAAAAATATCTGCAATGACTTACTCATCTAATATAATACAATAAACAAAAATAAAGATTAAAATCTCGAGGATAAGAATGTAACTCCTATTAAAGACATACCTGTAGTAAGGTATTTGAAGATGTTCGATTCTAAGCTCTTGTCCAAAGAATAAGAAACAAAGTATGGCATACGAGAGTTAAAAGGTAATCAATTGATGACGGGTGATTCTGAAGTCAGGTTCGACAATAATTTTATCCATATTGGTGATAAAAAATTCAACACTACTTCTATTGGCATTATTATTTATGAATTTACCTGATCAATCAAAAATAACAAAAGAAGATGGAAACATGTATGGCAGAATTATCAGTATGATAAACGGCTATCGGAAGCATTATATTCCCGACAAAAGTATCAGAGTAGATAAGAATTTAAAAAAATTCACCGACATAATCAGTAAATATATACCAAAAAGTGGGGAAAGTTTACCACAGTATATGATTAAACATAAACAAAATCATCCTACCGATTACATTTATTGGAATGATCCCAATGAACTTGTAGATCGACTTAATTCACTTATTGCATCTCAAACTGCTGGAAATTTCAGTCATACTAATGAAATTCTATCAATTTTAGAGGAATTACGCGAAGCTAAAATTATTTATTAATCTAATGTATTCTACACAGCTACTCATTCTTTGAAGGACTTTTGAAGTGAGACGTTTAAAAATGAGTGTTGACGTTTTTGGACGACAGTTAGCAAAAGATATTGTGAAAAGTGATATCCGTGGGCCTCCTGGTAAAGGATTCAAATTAACTGCGGATCAACAGTTTGACATAGATCATAAGAGATTGTGTAATCTCGCTGAACCAGTAGATTTGAATGATGCAACATCATTAGGAGTAATTGAAAAACAGATTATAATTTTGAAAAATTTTATTGAAATAGAATTACGTCTGTTACACGGAACTGTAGCAAATTCAAGGAAAATCATTGAAGAAAATAGAGAAAAAATCAAAATCATTAATATTCAAGTAGGGCAACATATCGAATTATTACAAGAACATCGTAAACGTCTGAAAGAAGAATTGAATGAAACAATTGAACTACATGAGTCAGATCCATTACGTTTATTGAAGAAGGCAAATCGTAAATAAGCTGAAATTATTGAACAAATGGAAGAAAATATTCGGAAATATCTTGATCAGCATCATGAACAAGGAGAAAAAAATAATAACTGAAGAGCTGCATAGACCGGTTAGGAGAAATTATCAATGACGACATGTTGATATACGTGGTCTTGATGAAACTTAGCAAGCTGATCTAGTTGACATGACAGCATATAAATCTTACAATAAAGGTCATCAATATTTATTGACTGTTATTGTTATTTTTTCAAAATACGCTTGGGCTGTGCCCACAAAATCTAAAAATGGTAAAGATGTGGCTTATGCAATGAAATCGATTCTATCACAAAAAAGAGTGCCAAAATTTTTGCATGTTGATAGAGCAAAGGAATTCTACAATAGAGATTTTGAAGCACTTATGAAACAATATAATATCAAAATGTATTCCACATTTAGTAATCTTAAAGCATCTATATGTGAACGATCTAATCGCATGTTAAAAAGTAAAATGTGGAAACAAAATACGTTGCAAGGTAATTACCAGTGGATAGACATCTTACCAAAATTGATGACATCATATAACAATAGCAAACATAGAACCATCAAAATACAACCGATTAATGTTACTTCAGCCAATGAGAAACAATTACGTCATACTATCTACAATAATAATAAACTTGAAGTTCAACAAAAAATGAAAAAGACTAAATTTAAGGTTGGGGACAAAGTACGCATAAGTAAATATAAACATGTCTTTGAGAAGGGATGCACTCCTAATTGGAAATCTGAAATATTTAATGTAAGCCAAGTATTGAACACTAATCCACTAACCTACAAGCTTATCGACTATCGAGATCAACCGATTGAAGGAGGTTTTTATCAAGAAGAATTGACTAAGATTCAATGTCCTGATATTTATTTCGTGGAAAAAGTTCTGAAAAAGCGTGGTAATCAAGCTTTTGTGAAGTGGTTAAGATTTGATAAAACGCACTATAGCTGGATAGATACAAAAGATTTATAATGTCTCTATCTAATGAATTAGAAGCAATGACTGACAAAACGTCTTTAGCTGAAGAGCAAGAAGCAATGGCTGACAAAATGTACAGTAATGCTGCTAATATTAAATGGATACCTTTAACTCATGAAGAACAACAAAAAATTAATAAGGTAAGAGAAACGATTAAACATCTTGATAAAATTAATAAACGAATGTTAAAAGAAGTTAAAACTAATAAGACCATTAAGGATGACAATGATTTTGTCATATTATTTGTAAAAGATGAATCCAAAAATACTAACTAATGTAAATAATTCGTAATATTTTTTTTATTAAATAAATTTTTTTTTCTCATAAGTTTTACATAAATCTTATATCTACAAAAATTTATTAACCTTATCCAATATGAATCGTAACCCCAAAGAAGTGTATCAGTTGATTGTGCTAAGAGAACTCTTTTATTATCTTCCCAACTTAATGCTAACTTTTGTCTACTAGTTGTATGTACTTCATGTTTCTTGTTGACTATATGATATTCCGTTTTACATAATTTTTCATGATTAAGTAACCATTTTTTGTAATCATCGAATGTTATAGATTTTATTGTTGCAGTTTTGACACCGTCTGCTTTATACTTGTCTTTTTTTCTTTATTTTGAACTTTGAATGTGTACATTTTGGCAATATTTTTGGATACTCTAAATCAACTTCGACAATGTAACCAATTGAAGAATCCTTGGAGATATTTTTAATTATTTCATAGATATTAGAAATATTGATGTCATCTTCCACCCATTCAAATGATCCAGTCGGTAGATACTTACTCATTGCTGCGCCATACGAATTATTTACATCGAAATCCATGAGATATGATACATAGTCATTGGGGTTATAATCATTACACATATACGGATTGTTTGCTTTTGTATATCTATTTGAACACTGTGCCACTCCTCCTCTAATACCCTTTTTTATGAAATTGAGCATTTCTACATTTTCCAAGAGTTCGAGTTCAATTTCTGTATATTTCAATATAGCATCAAAAGTTAATCCAGGTGCAGTGTCGTAATGTAACGGATCAAGCTCATAAGTGTAGAGACAACTTTGTCTAAAATTTTGAAAAATGTCTGCTAACAGAAGAACGTCTGTTTTTAAATATAAATCTGAATATTCACCGAGGGTGTTTAGTTGAAATTGATCCCAAACGTGGTGTGCATGTTGGTAAACGTCATCGGAAATGTCCGAATCGTTGACGAAGTTTTTCCCAACTGTCAATATATTCATATGGGAAAACACCTTTACGAGTTACTAATTGAAATTTATCTGGCTCGGGATAGAAACGTTGGATAATTGATTTTGCGTTGTTATCTAAAAATAATGCAAGTTTCTCAATACTATTGCTCATGAATCGAAAAGAATCAATAAATCGTAATTTAACAACTATTTCCTTTTTTTGCAGGGAATTTTCTGATCAATTGTTTTTGTAAATGCTATGTATTTTGCTCTATCGACAGGTAATAATTCCATAAAACCTTTAAATAATGTAGCCAATGATTTAATAAAAAAATGTGAGTCATATTCTCAATTCAATTCAATGTTATCAAGGGAAAGAAAGAAGCAATGTAAAAATGATAAAAGCAATGTAATCATAATGCATTGAGAAAAAGAAAAAAAAATTTAGAACTACATTGGTATTAACATTGGTTATATTGCTTTGACATTGCTACTACAGAAAAGGGAATTATGCAAAGGATACAATGTTGAAGCAATGTAATCTTAAACATTGAAAATGAAATTTAATTTAAATTATTTTTACATTGGTTGTATTTCTAAAAAGCAATGTAATCGATGTACAACCCATCGACATTTTTCGATTCGGGTATTTGTCTTGTCAAAAAATTTTTGTTTTTATGCATTTTTTTGTCACCTATAAGGCCCGATTTGTTCTGAATGTTTTCCTGTAAAAGCCTATAGAGTTTCCAATAAGTCCAATACTTTTTTTTTCAAATTTCTATTGAATATAATAGGATTTGAATCGATTTTATCAAATTGTTTTAGTAGATAACATTCGTTACTTTCTTCTTGTTAATAGAATCTTCTATGAATTACGTGCAATGTTTTCTTGATTTAAGTCTGCAGATGGGAAAAACATGCAAATTTTATTCAGCTTCATTGGTAATTATATATTGAAAGAAAAATTTATTTCTATCAGAATTAATTTAATAATAATAAATAAATACCTTATTTAAAAAGATGATAAGTATTTGTTCCAAACGGAGGAATGATTTTTTTTAATTACGAAGAGGATTTTTCGCGGTATACGAGTTATACATTGGTTAGTTTTACAAGCAAGATTTATTGACTATTGAATGTCTATTTACATGAGACGAATTCTAAAAAAAATTTTAATTCAATATATTTATAAACAATTTCCCCTCTGAGTATATTTTATCGTTAAAGGCATCTAGTAAACCTTTCCGATCATGATAAATGTTTACAAAATTATACCTGCAGATTATAAAAATCAATAAAAAATGAATTATTATATTTATTTTACCATCATTATAATTTTTCATATTGTTATCTTATAAGGTAAGAGACCCAATACTCGATCATGAACTAGTACTCGCTCTTTCATGTATTTTGTATATCTATATACAGGGTTCCCTATACAAAATACACGGAGTGGTCGAGTATTGGGTCTTTTACCCTATTCAAGCTCTCTAAAAGTAAATT